GATATCCCCAAACTTACAATGCAGGAGCGGGATCAGGTTAGACGCTTCATCACGCTCATTGATTCACTTTACGAATGTCATACGAAGGTGGTGTGCACCGCAGAGCTGGATCCCATCCCTCTCTTCTATGTCTCTGAGGAGGAGCGCAAGACCTCAATAGCGGATGAGATCTTCGCTTGGGACCGCACGGCCCCTTGGCAGAAGCAATGACTGTGTATTCTTGGAGCTAGAATGCTGCGGTGGGGCGGGATGGGCTTCACGCAGACTAGCGTCACATGACCTATTGCCTCTGGAGTTTGCAGAAACCCACAAGCAAGCAGTATATCAGTATCTGTCACTCGTTCTCAAAATGCCTCTGGCATGTGTCTTGGCCCATGTACATTCCGCAGCTTCCCCGCCACATGGGACTACGTTTCCCGAAAGTACTAGGCTAGCATTTCTGCAGGTTTTGAAGCACGTAAAGAGTTCGCAGAGGCCGTGGTAGTTACCAAAATGGCAATGTCTACTGCCTATTGTAGGAGGGATTCTGCTCCCGCAGCCAAGCCTTTGATGGTTTCTATGACGTTTTCCGATGTTTTTCAAATACGGGAGGTTGTGTATCAGTTATCACAAGGTAAGTCGTCTCATGGAGATGCAGTCCACTGCCTACTTGAGCGCAGCCTCTCAGTCTCTCAGCGGTGAGCAGTTCTTGGGACAGTACAGACTCAAGAGCCTGACGGATGAGGACTTCAAGGAAATGTGGAGACGCTACGATCCTTTGATGCACAAAAAAAAGGATGTGCTTTCCTTTGCGTCCATCTTAACTTGGCTTGGCCAAAAATTCAAACCATTGAATGCTGTGGCTCCCCAAACGAAAAAGCTTTCAGATGCTATGAGCAACAATGCACTGTAGTACCCTAAGGGCACCTCACAGTTGGAGAAGCACCTCTTGTGGGGGCGGGTAACCTGAACAAGAAGCTTTAAATCATCTCTTATGATATCCCCACTTCTCCCCATATCATCGCTCTGGAATGTTGTGTCTGGGTGTCCTACGACGCATTGGGAGTTCTCGTTGCTGCCTGCTTAGGATCAGGATGATAGCGGCCATTTGGACATGGACGAGCTGCGGCTTTTCCTGGAAGACCTGCTAGAAAAGCAGTGTGGCCATCGAAATCTGCCCCTGGACTCTGCTT